TGTTATCCCCTTTCCTGGTTTCCACACTGCAAATCCCCTATCCCATCCCCCTCACCCTGCTTCTATGAGGGTGCTCCCCTATCTACACACCCACTCCTGTTTCCCCACCCTGGCATTTCCCTATGCTAGGGCATCTAGTCGCCACAGGATCTAGAGCCTCCCCTCCCACTGTTGCCAAATAAGGCCATCCTCTCTTACATATGCAGCAGGGAGCCATGGCTCCCTCCATGTGTACTCTTTGGTTGGTGGGTTAGTCCCTGGGAGCTCTGGGTGGTTGATATTGTTTACTTTCAGTTTTCATATTCAATAGCTTCTTTTTCATCTGTTCTGCAATTCAGTGTTTTCTCCCCAATGGCTGTTTACACTTTATCTTGACTTTTGTGGAAGTTTGTTAGTCATTTATATCTTAGTAATAAAGCATGGACAAGGCCCACAGTTCTATCCCAAGCACAAAAACAACCAAACAACCCAAAATAATTATAGCTAAAATATAAACTTTAAGAACATAAGCCAGCAAAATACTGCTACTTTCGTAAATTTATAGCCTAAAAGAATGAGGCTCTTGCTTTTAAATGTTTCATTAGTTTGGAGAAATTAAGTTGATTAAACACAACTCTTACCTGAAAATAGCATTAGATATATAAAAAGGCTCAGACAAAATGTAACTTTATAGTAGACACAACAGTAGTATTATTGTCCAAATATTCCTCTTAAGAGACCAACTTACGGTTTGGAAATTTAGCTCAGTGGTAAAGAGCTTATCTAGCAAGCACAAAGCCCTGGATTTGGTCATCAGCTCCGGAGGGGGGAAAGAACCATTTAACAAAAAAGACAGGGTACACAAAAGTAGTACAAACGTATCTTTGGTAAAATGTATAATGCATATCTTTTGTATCTGTTCATAGTACTAAATGAAGCTATGTAGTATTATGGTATGTAAAAAGCTAGAGCAGTCATGCTGGCACATCAAAGGATATTTTTAAATAAAAAATTGACAGTATTATATTTACAGAATGCTGGCACATCAAAGCATATTTTTAAATAAAAAATTGACAGTATTATATTTACAGAGCAAAAATACCAAGTTAAAATTGTCTGTATATATGGATGAGTGTCAGAGTATATATAGCCAGTAGATGGCATCAGAATCGAGTAGTAAAGAAGTAGGCAAATCACCAAAAACTGCTTTGGAACTGTTGAAGCTGAAAAGCAAACAGAGGAAGGGTGAGGACTAACAAGGATTGTCAAAGACCAAACCCACAAGATATCAATCCCAAAGTCAAAACACAGGTCTCAGATAAAAGTTTAAGTGAGCTGCAGTATTAATCTGTGGTCATTAAGGGACAGGAAAGGAGATACTTTCAAAAGCCAAAGACTGACTGAGTTATCTGAGGCCAGGAAGAGGCAAGCACTCAAAACCTGATGCTACAGCATGGTTCTCCCTCTTGGCCTTGTGGCCCATCTTATACTGCTTACTCTCAAGACAGACGAAGGACCATTCTTCTCGGTCGGAACTGGTGCCCTCCACAGAACAAACCAAAAAGTGTCTCTCCTGCTGACTTACCTGATGTGTGGATAAGGGAAACACCCAGTATCCTGGGCACCCAGCCCTCATCTTCCAGTTCTTGTCTGATACCACAGATCAAAAGCCTGGGCACTGCTGTGTGTCAGAAGCAACAAGCACTTTACTTTCTGGCAGTTTTGTGCCTTCTAGTCGCTCTCAACCCTCTGAGGGACAGTAATGTCACGGTTTTTAGTTCTTGTTTTTTTCTACTTTTCTGCCTGCCTGCCTGTCTGCCTGCCCCCCCACCTCTTTCTTTTTTTTGTGCATGTGTGCTGTGTTTTTGTAGATCCTCATGGCCCTGGACTGGACTGTAATGGAATTACCTATTTAAAGACACTATGTGATCTCAAATGTATATAATGGGTTTTTTTTGTTTTGTTTTGACTGTGATGGAATTGTTTCATTTCTCATGTTAATGTGAGAGACATATGCCAAATGATTAGTTGATGTATTTTTTAAATTTAATATTTAAATAAAATATTTGGGAGAAAATTTAAGAGGGAATCTTTGATGTGCTTAAGTGACTAATAAGTGTGTGATTGTAGAGAGATCACAGTGCTATGGATATGACAAAGTCTTCTGGGGTGCTGTGCATGTTTTGATGCCATGAGATTCATGGTGGCCATAATTAAGCAAAAAATATTTTTCACAAAAATTAAAATTATATACTTAAAATTTATATTTAAATTTTTTCCAAATATATAAATAACTTAAAATTTATAGCAGAAAGATTGAATCACTTTTATGATGCTTCCATAATGTTGCTGAAATCAGTCTTTGCTATTTTAAGTTAGCTACATTTGGGAAAATATCATATGGTCACATTTTAATGTGGTATCTTTATGCCAAATGTCAAAAGCAAGTTACCTTAAGTAGGAAAAAGGCACCTTTTAAAGAAAATATCTGTAGAAATCACTATTATCATGAATTAACAAAATACATAACAGCAAGGATCTCACATGAAGCAGATGTTTCCATTTCTTTAGGTAATTAAAAAGCAGTCTAAAAAGATTTTAATACTGAGAAAACTGAGGTTTTCACTAGATTATTTCTGATTTCTGTAGAGTGATATCCTACAAATTCATAAGAAAAATACAATAATTTTACCTAAATAAAAGAATGTAATTACTAAGAGCTTATGCAGTATTTTTTAGCATCTAATCATATTAATATATAAAAAATAAACAGTTGGGTTTAAAAATAGCTTTATTTAGCATACCAAAACCACAGGAACATAAGAAAATTGTATCTAGTATAAACATAAAAAGTTAAATACCATAATTTAATGTAAACCAAGCATTTGAAAAATATGAATTATTGTAATAAAATACATGCTATTTACACAGAACTAAGTTAAAGCTACCTCTGTAGTTACTGGATCAGATTATCAATCTTGAAGAAGTTATCATTAGCAATCAGCAAACATAACATCTCCTTTTCTATCAATCAATAGGAAAAGAAGCAATCATCTTATTTATTTAAAACATATATAATTTATTATGACATTTAGAGCAGGGAAGCAAAAAGTGTCAGTTCAAGGATTCCAGACACAAGCAATGTAGGTAGAGGTTTGAAAATCATTCTATTGGAGGAACCTTGAGCAGATCTTTTTATTTAAATATAAATTGTATTAATTCCATTTATTTACTGCTTAGAAAGGTATTAAGTACATTCTGCAAAAATAAATCTTCATTAAAAATGATCAAAGACAAATGCAGTATCAATCAGGTAGGAAATGCAAAGCATAAAAATATATATTATTCCAGATAAGCCCCTTAATTATAATAAAGGTTAAGAAACTCAGTTTATAAAACCAGAAGGAGTAGCAAAGGGAATTTTAAACGTATGAAACCTAAACTGTACTCGAACACAGCAAAAATGTACAAAATAAAATTTCATGAAGTAGTATTTTGATTATGCTCTTCTTATCATAGAAAAGCTACCAGGAAACTTATGGTTAGTACAGCTATTAATTACTATGAAATAGTGTTTTCTCTGACCAATAATCTAAACAGCTGTCATTACTGATCAATTTGTTTAGCTTTTGTTGCAAGAACCATCATTCATTGTTCTACTTTAGTTCAGAAAGTGTTAAATCCAATACTGAGACTTCAAAATATAAAGTAACTTTACAAGAACAAAAACCTACCTTAGTGAGAGGATGTATTGTTCTTTTGTCCAATCCTATAGTTCTTAAAATTTTGGTTTCTGGATCCCTCCTTAAACTCTTGGGGGAATCTAGACTCCAAAGAACTTTTATTTTTGAGATTTATATCAATATTTAACATGTTAGAAATGAACTGAAAAAAACTAAAGCACTAATTCAGCTAAAAAGTAAAAAAAATATGTCAATAAAAATTACATTTTTATGAAAAATAGCTATATTGTCTTTTTTAAAAGATGTGTGTGAAGACTGTATTGTTTTCCATTGTTCAACTCTTGTTTTGAGAGAACTAGAATAAAGAGACAAATAATGTCTTCAGATAGGATGAAAATATTTTGATTTCACAGATTCCATGGAAGACTGTCAGGAAACTCCTAGGGTTTATGGGCCACAATTTGAAAACTGTTGGTCTCATCTAAAGCCTAATATTAGTGTAACATACACACACACATACATCCTTAATTTTCTGTTATAAACAACCCATAACTTCTCTTATACATTGGATCAAACATCTCCAACTTCATATTTAATTAGAAACAATTATCATACAGTAAGGAAAAATATTTAAAGCAATATTGTCATGTCGAGATCATTATCAAGATAAAAATACCTTCTCACCTATCAGGCCTATTAACTAATTCATGTACTTTAGTGTATATTCCAGTATTTCTTTATCCAATACAGCACTGGCAAATGTACTTAAATTGGCACACCTTTTGTACAGTACAGATTATGTGTGAAGGTAAGTAATAGTCCATACACTCAGCTTAGGGAAATATTAACTATTTATGAAGCAGCCTGCTCTATTTCTCAGTATGTAAAAAGCTCCGATAAAATTCTAGGGAAACTGGGGAAAACATCACCCTGAAGCACAATAATAACATTAGGATCTTACAATTAAGTAGTTCTTCATACTGAAAAATCACTTTGGGTACATGTCATCTCATTTGACCATTTTTCTATTTTTTCTGAAATAGTTTATTTTGGCAATTCATTCATAACCTATTCCAAACTACTGCAGCTAAATACATACATACATACATACATACAT